CTTTTTTTTTTTTAATTTTTATATGTACCCCCTTACCTTTCTTTCATCTCACCTATTTTGTTAATATGTGAAAATTGAAAGAGAACAAAAAGTGTATGCAAAAAAGAAAGTAGCAAATTAAAAGTTGAAAGTGCAAAATTAGAAAAATTTAAAAAAAAATTACAATGTTTTATAATTTTTTAAAAAAAAATAAAGGAGGTGTACTTGTATAAAAATGGAGGTGTATATATCATGAGCCTAAAAAAAATCCAACTAACAACTACATAACTAAAAAACTGAGTAACCCCTCACTGATTGGGCCATGGACTTTGGGCTGGAAGTTTAACTTTAAAATGATCTAATTCATATTTTTCTAAACCAAGATAGATGAGAAAATATAAATAAATAAGCAAATTAAATAATTAAGGAGAAAAATGTGTTGGGAGAACAAAATGTGTAAGACTAAAAAGAAATTTCAACAAACTTTTCCCAATGCATAAATAAATAAATAATGCTAGCAATAATAGTAACAAAGAAATAAATAAAAATTTTAAGTGTAGGAAGTAGGTCAAGTTTTAAATTACAAGCTAAAGTTTTGTTAATTAAATAAATTTATTATATGTTCAGATGTATATATTTTTATTATTAGTGTTATATAAATATAAAATATTTTTTAACATAAAAAATTTATTTAAGTTTATATCAATTTGTCTGTCAATTTTTATTTTTATTTACCTCAGTATTTCTCTATCAATTCTTTCCTTTACCTTTTTCTTGTCAAATCTCTTTTCCACTTTCTTTTTCTCTCAAACTTTAAGATTTTTCAATGTCAAACGATCTTTGGCAAAATCGTGTCTGTTGAATTATTTGGTTGGCATATTCAAACAAGCATTTTGTCGACATCAAACACTTTTTGTTGAAATAATTTATTTTTCTTATTAGACTACTGGTATTTGTAATTTTTTAAAACCACAAGATTACCACTGAACTCGACACCAGAACACAAACTGCATTAGTGAAAAAGCTGAAGTTCTATTGACAGAAAATACCAGAAACAAATTAGCAATTCTCCATTGGTGATGATCCGCAATATTCTTTGACTTCCACCATAAAAAAAAAATGCATGTTATGTATATTTTAATTCTAAAATATTTATGGAACAAAACAAAACAATATGAAAAAGGTCTTACATTTAGTTACTAGTAATCATAGGACAAAAATTTGTCCACTTGTCCCATGCACAATACTATGAAAATAATTAAAAAAGAAAAAAACTTTAATTAGTATATCTATTAATTAGTGATAAAGTTGAATTAGTGTATAAAAGTCAAGAACAATTCTAATCTTATAAACCAATTTTGTAAATTAAGTCAAGTTCACATCCTTAAGATAATATTAAAGTATATTATAATAATTATTGTTTAATTTATTAGATTATCTAGCATTAAACTATTATCGAATCATTCATAAATATTTAATCTTACAAATTTTATGTTTGAGATATCTAATTTTTAACTTGAATAAATTTTTCAAAGATTTTATACGATTAATAATATAAACAAATTAATATATATAAATAAAAAATAATTATAAAATTAATTTAAATTCTTTCTCTACTTTATTAATAAAATTCGGTGAGATTTTGTTAGGCATTGTTGTCCATGAGTTGAAAAAAAAAAATTAAATTTGCATGAAGTTTATATATAAAAAATTTGTGGTACTCTATCAATTAAGTTGCTTTTTGCAAAAAAGTTCTTTTATAAAGCTACGGTTCATAGCAAATAGAAAGTATGCATTTAATTTATAGAAAAATATAAAATTAAGACTTAAGCAAAAGGTTATTGTTGAAGTACAAATGTAATGATGGAAAAGAGATTTGGAAATTGGAAGTTAGGAAGTACAGCCTTTAGTTTTGAATTTTGATAACTTTGTCTTCCCATCCCCACTTCTTTGGTACCTTTGCTAAAGTTTGTAGGACGGGCTTAATACATTATGTCAACAAAAAATTCTTAATACAATAATATTTTATTTTATTTTATTTTTCTTAATAAAAAATCAACTTAAATTATTTTTATTGTTTAGTTTATCATTTTAAATATAAACTTATTATTATTAAAAAAAAATATTAATAAATGATGATATGTATATGTTAAAACTTGAATTCAACTATTATAATATATTTTTATTTGAATTTTTTTTATATAGTTTGAATGTTAAGAAATTAATGTGTGTTTTTTTATTTTTCATATTAAAAAATTATGATATTGTTTCGGTACGTAAAAAAAATTCCACATTATATAAGAGTTGAGATCAGTGCTAATTTATAATATTATGCTATTTTGCATCTTTTTATGATAAAGTCGTAATAATTTAATAAATATCAATATGAATAATAATTCAAATGTAATGATTCTAGCCATGTTAACAAATTTGAGATCAAAACAAATAATATATATTTATTATTATTATTATTATTTTATTAAATATTAATACCCGTTTAACTTATGCTAATTCTTCTATTCATGTGAATTGTTTATTTTTTGATATATAACAAATTATAATAATCTAAAACTGCATGGTATTTTAAGTTTTCAACTGTATCATTATGCCAAATTAATGTTTTTTTATTCATACCAGTGTTTTTATGTGAATCATTTATTTTTAACATTTAATGTTATCTGCCAATTTCATGCCACTAAAAGAAAAAATAAGAGATTTCATATGGTGAGGTTTAAAGGCATCAACACATTATTTTACGGTTAATTTGTAAACATATATATTAAAAAAAAATTATTCATTTTACTTTTTTATTTTTTTTTCCTCTATATCACTTATTATATTTACTGCTTCATATAATTTTCTTCTTTTTTCTTCCATTTTAATTCACCTCAAAATAAAGTGAGCATTTTCAATTCTTCTTATTTTACACTAGAGATAAAGAGATATTTCATACTTCTATATTTTAAGCATTTTTTATCTCATTTTTATTTATACCAATTTTAATTTATTTTATACTTTTAATTGTTGTCATAATTCTTTTGAATTTAAATATCTTTAAATTAAATTTATGTGACTATTAATTTTTTTTTCTTTTTGTAAATTTTACTATTCTTGATTTTCAACCAATGAAACAACACTCACATGAATCAGCATACACGCTATATATTATGAATTTCACTATTAATTACATTAAAATTTAGCCAATAATTTAATCACTAAACTCGTAAATTAACTATCAGGGATTACTTCGACTCAATTAATAGTTTTAAGTTTTTTTTTGTAAAAATAGGAAAGATTATAAAAATAGTCGCAATGAGAATTGAACCTAGGTCCCCATACTTCTAACTATCTCAAACTCTCCCCACCTAACTACTATGCTAATCCTAGTGATTTATAGTCTTAAGTTTAAGTGATCGGTATGTAATTATATGTTAAATATTCATATAATAAAACAAATCAATAATTTAAATATGTTTAGACTAAAATAGAATTTTGACCTTTTATTTTAATTTTTTATTCCTTAAAGTGTTTCTATCAGACAATTGATCATTTTTTTATATATAAATTTATCACACTATTTTTATTAATTAAACGATGAGATAGGTTAGTTGAATTTGACATCATTAATGTAAAATATATATATATATAT